TGCTGAGTAGTTTACCGTCGAGGCAGGCCGCAGACAGATGTGGGGCCACCAGAGCCTGCAGCCTGTCTCCACCCACTGCCTGTCTCTCAGGAGGACAGTCTGTCTGCCGCGTCGCTCTGCTTGGATGCTGTCTGCCCACTGGAGCCCCATCCCCAGCCCCGATTTGTCTCCATCTCCTGCTTTCTCTCTCCCGCGGACAACTTGAGGTGTGTTGGAAGGTGATACTCTCCATTCAGGCCCCGTGAGGCCAGTTCTCCCCATCAGAGAGGGACCTTCTGGAATACCGAGGGCCATCCCATTTTCTGCGCTCAAGTAGGAGTGAGCGGAAATCAAGAAGTCGACTGTTGGTTTCCAAGGGCTGTCTTAACAAATGGTTCTAAACGGAGTTGCTTAAAACAACAGAAATCTATTCTCTCAGTTCAGGAGGCCAGAAGTCTGAAATCGAGGTTTTGGCAAGGCTGTACCCCTCCCGCGGGCTCTACGGAGGAATGCTTCCCTGCTCCCTCCTGGTTTCTGGTGGGGGCTGGTGTCCCAGTGTTCCTTAGCTGGTGGTTGCTTTGCTCTGATCACGGCTTCTGCCTTCATGGGACCTCGTCTCTCTGTGTCCCTCCGTGTCTCCTCTCCTCGTCTCAGGAGGACACCGCTCCTTGGAAGACGTTCTCATCGCGAGATCCTCAACTAACCCTATTCCAGCTAAGGTCACGTTCTGAGGTTCCCGGTGGACGTACACTTTGCGGGCCCCCCATTCAACCCACTACAGTGACTTTTAGGGATATTTGTTCCCATTACACATACAAATACATTTAAAAAAAATTTTTTTTAACGTAATCTCTTCACTCAACACGGGGCTCAAGCTCATGACCGTGAGATCAAGAGTCACACGCTCTTCTGACTGAGCCAAATAGGTGCCCCCACAGATACACTCTTTTTTTTTTTTTTAAAGGTTTTATTTATTTATTTGACAGAGAGAGAGATCACAAGTAGGCAGAGAGGCAGGCAGAGAGAGAGGAGGAAGTAGGCTCCCTGCTGAGCAGAGAGCCCAATGCAGGGCTCGATCCCAGGACCCTGAGATCATGACCTGAGCCCAAGGCAGAGGCTTAACCCACTGAGCCACCCAGGCGCCCCTACACAGATACACTCTTGAGAAACACGTTTGGGATCATTGTTTTTCATTTCAGCACATTTTTAAAACTGAGTGCTTAGACATGTAACATTCACATGTTGCATTCTTTCCACGTCTAACTCCTGTTGCAGACTTCATTTTCAGTGACTGCCTCCTGGTCTGCCAGGTGAGCGGTGGGACAGCCTAGCAGTTCCGAGTACGGGCTCGGGGCAAGGTGGCCAGCATCCGCATCCCACCCATCTCTCTTGGGTTTCTGCCGACCGTGTCCTCTCCAAAACCTGGTGTTGGAGTCCCAAGCCCCAGGACCTCAGGACTGTGTTTAAAGATAAGGCCTTTTAGGAGATAATGAATGTAAAATGAGGTCATTGGGGGTGGGCCCTAATCCAGTATGACTGGTCTCTTTCTAAGAAGAGGTGTTTAGGACATAGACACAGAGGGAAGACCGAGTAAGGACACAGGGGGAAGACAGCCATGTGCACATCTTCCTCAGCTCAATATGGAGCTACAACCTGACAGTAAGTGGAAAATACTGCAAGTTAAAGAGGATATTAAACACATCTAACCTACCGAACCTCACGGCTCAGCCTAGCCCCCTTGAACGTGCTCCCAACACTCACATTAGCCCACAGTTGGGTGAAGTCATCCAACGCAAAGCCTATTTCACAGACGAAGTGTTGGATATCTCACGTCGTTTATGGAATACTGTACTGGAAGTGGAAACAGAGCAGCTGTATGGAGGTAGGATGGCTGTCAGCGTGAGCTGTTGGCGCCCATGGTGGCAGGTCCGCATCACCAGAGAGGTCAGACCACCTATCGCTTGCCTGGGGAAAGATCCAAGTTCAATGTTCCAAGTACGCCTTCTACTGAATGTGTGTTGTATAAAGTCAAAAAATTGTAAGTCGAGCCACCCTAAGTTGGGGCCATGTGAAGCCCGGGAGAGAAGCCTCCTAAGACGCCCGCCCTGCCAACTTCTTCGGTTTAGAGACCCAGCCTCCAGCACCGTGAGAAAGAACTTTCTGTTGTTTGAGCCCCACAGTCTGGGTTACGTCTCATGGCAGCCCCAGCAGATGGACATGCCACCTGTGGGGCAAAGCCCCGAGTCTCTGAGGCCTTGTCTCTTCTCTCTGCAAGCAGGTGTCATAGGGTCTCAGTGAGGGTTCGACAGAGAGGATGCTCCGTGCGTGGCCTGGTGCTGGGCTGGAAAGTGCCCTCGGCGGGGATGGTACCTGCCCCCCCGCCCCCCCCGCATGTTGTCAGCCCTCTGTTGCTGCACATTGGATGGTTTCTGTTCATTCACTGGGCGAGGATTTACAGGACCCCAGTCACGGCCACTTGCTCTGTGACCAGTGAGGCTGTGGCCTGGGGTCCACAGCTGGAGACACTGCCTTTGGGCACTTTCTGGGAAGGGATTTTTAGGAGCATTCTCTATCCTCCAGCTGTTTTCACTCAGCAGCCCCATGGGGGTCCCTGGGGCTCAAGCCCCCTGTTCCGTGCACTCCGAGGCCAGTGCCCAGGAGACCCTTTGCTGGGGGCAGGGATGAGCTGTTAAGCAGCTTGCAGCCCCGGAAAATGTGGTTCTTTCCTTGTTCCTTCTCCTACAGGGGTCTCATGGCCGCGGTCACTGCCTGGTGACTGCATAGCTCCAGGAGGCGGGTGAAGGCTCCTGGCAGAGGGAACCCGAGCCCAAAAGCCTTCCTGGGCATTTCACACCTGCCCATGGCAGGGAGTGGCCCTTATGCTCCTGTTAAATAGTTTGCAGCCCTGTCCCCTTGCGTTCACTGGCACCCTGGAGTGCCGAGAGCCTGTGGCCTCTGGGGATCTCCTGGAGGCTGAGTCCTGCCTGCCCTGGAGCAGCCCCCCTCAGCTGAAGCGACCCCCTCTGTCCCCTGCCTGCTCCGTCCCTGGGGGCCTTTTTCTTCTCTTCTCTGAAGTGTGAGCCTCCGAGCACGGCAGGCAAACAGGATGCTGTCCTCCCACACACGGAGACTTCAGACGAGACACTTGGGTCCAACCGCATCCTGCTGGCAGTGCTGGGTCCCATCTGCTGCGGACCTAGAGTGGGAGGGGGGGGGTGCAGGGCTGGGTGCCAGGAGGGGTCCTCACGAGGCGGTGTTCGTGAGACACTCTGAGCCTCGCACCAGACCACCAGGGCAGGCACGTCAGGGAGGCCCCCTAGGAGCTCTGTGCCCAGGGGGGAGCGGAATCACGCAGGTGCCTCGGGGCGGTCCCACCTGCACGGCACACTCGTGGGAGGCCGCCAAGCGATAATGGCATTCCTCATCCCTCGCCTTGCCCTTGGCTCTGATTTTTGTGTTTTCTGGGAGGGTTTTTGTTTTTTGTTGTTGTTGTTTTAAAGTGAATGATTTCTCCAAATGTCAGCCCATCAGGCTCAGATTGCAAGATTGCTATAAAAGGTGACGGTCTTGAGAGGCACAAGGTGGGGACTCACGGGGGCGTGTCCTTCCTGAACAGCTGCAGATCCGAGGCAGGGCTGGAGGGCACCTGGGGATGGGCAGGCCATAGTGCAAGAGTTTAAGGAAAACACAAAGTCCTAAATCTTTCCCTGAGCAGTGGACTCAGACGGCAGCAGAGAGATTCAGGCGCTTCTCCTGTGGGTGAAGCCGTCTCAGGAAAAGGACGGTATAAAGGCAGAAGGTTCCAGGTCTCCCGTCCCCCAGGCAGATGTTCTGAGTTCTTCAACTCTATTCGACATTCAGTTTTCAAAATAGTTTGCGTGTGTGTTGGGAGAGGTTGAATTTAAAAGATGTCAGGGTCTTACCACCCACTTGATAACCCCGCCTGGCAGTGAGCGACATTCTAGACAGCCCTGGAACTTCCCACTTGTTGAGCCCATTGCAGTGCAGGAAGCAAAGACACCGGGGTGCACGGTGTGGATTTTTCTTCTGCAGAAGGTCCTGAAAATTCAGTTGAAAGGTTTGAGAGAGAGAAACAGGAGGAAGATTTCTCAAGAGACCGTATTCTGCAACAGCCGGAAAATGCTTCACTTTTTTTCCACCGATTTCGTAGGGCAAGGGAGGAGGGGGGCAAAGGATCGGGTGGGAGTGGAGGGGAGGGGATGCTGGGAACAGGGACCATGGCTAAGAAGAGGGGGCAGTTCTCTGAGGACCTGCGGGGCAGGACGCAGCCTGATAATCCAGGAGAATTAGGCTCCGTGAGGGGTCCTCCCTTCGTATCTGAGAGTCCTCGCTTCCCCAGAGCTGTGCTCCTGGGCTGTGTGAGCGTGCCAGGGTCCGCCTGCCACAGCCAGCGGCTGCTTGCTTTAATTAGGGCCTGTTCCCGGAGCCTCTCCTTGCTAACACCGTCATTTCACTCCCCGGCCTGCCTTCAAATAGCCCCATTTTGTTTCTTGGCATCATAACAGGCAAATTTGAGATTTTGGATGCCAGACTTCTGGGGTGGGGGTTCTTAACAAAGTTGGCATCATCTGAGATGACAGTGACCTTTCCAGTCACCGCCCCTTCTTCAGGAATGGTTCCTGTTCTGCCAACTCAAGTTTCTGGAGAAATACATCCCTATTTGTTATCTATCTGCGTTATCTAACCAAACAGAGTGGAGATTCGTAACGGACCTCTTGATACAAGGGTGTGAATCAGTGCTGTGTGCATTTGTACTTCCAAGGAAGATAGAGTTAGATTCGTTCGTGTGGCTAACTATTATATTCTGCTGAGTCTGTCTCCTAATGATCAAAACCACCCAGGAAATCTTCCTTGCCCGGCACCAGACTTACTTGCTTTGTGGGTTTTTCACGTAGCTGCCCTCTTTGGCACATGATAGGAATTTGATACACATTTGAGAGAATGACTCATGGTCCGATTAGCCTCTCAACCTTAGATTCCTTTTTCCTTTCCTCCTTTAGATCTTCAACCTCATGAAGTATGACAGCTACAGCCGCTTCTTGAAGTCTGACTTGTTTTTGAAACACAAGCGAACTGAGGAAGAGGAAGAAGATGCCACGGACGCCCAAACTGCTGCTAAAAGGGCTTCGAGAATTTACAACACATGAGCCCCGAGGGGCTGGCAGGACTGGCGGCTTTCAGAGGCGAAGGAACTCCTTCCCTTTCAGGACCGTGCAGGATTTATAATTGCTTTGTTTTCTGTAAGGACTGAAATGTACAAAACCCTCCCGTGGGATACATGTATTTTATTAACTGCTTGACCAGTGAGTTTTGCATGATGACTAATCTTACATAAAAAACCAAATAGCTTTGAAGTTTTAGTTCACATACACACACATGAGCAGAAGAGTCCTTAAACACTGGATGCTTTGAGCATTTCGTAGCTTGATTAAACGTCGTCTAAGGCCACCAGGTGAAACTTAGAACCCCCTGTTACCCTTTACACCTTTGCCCGGCCTCTGGGGGAGGGGCCGTGCATGTCCACGGATTCACTTGGCAAATCAGCTCGAGAATGAGTTGCTCTGACAAACTGAGGCCCCTAGGGGTGTGGGCTGTCAAACACCTTTTGGGTTAAGTACTCGTCAAGAGTAAGTTCACGGCTGAGAAAAGTCATCACTCGCAGCCTCTCCAGATTTGGGGAGTCGTGTGTGCGCACCCCCAGAGGGTTATTTCTTGTGTGTGGGTTTGTCTTGGTGTTGCCTACAGTCTGTGACATTTCATGCAACACAGATAAATAGTTCATCTTGACAGAAACAAGATCTCGACTGGAAGAAAGAGAAATGCAAAATTGGTCAGGGTCCCTGTGGCAGCGCAAGGCAGTGGTGAATGGGCTCGTGGCCTGTGCCGATGATGGAGTTGAGGGTGTCCTGTTCTCCCATAACCCGTCTGGGAACACATTGGAACCCTCTCCTCTGCCCTACCCTTTACTGGACTTGTTAACTCAGGGCTTAACACTTCAGCAAGGGGAAAGAAGTACTTTTTGAAAGTCTCTTGGGTAGAGAGGCTGTGAGTGAAACCCTGCTTGGCCTGGGTTGTCCCAGCCAGCCCAGGTAGCCCCCCTTCGCCCCTTTGCGAGCAGAGCCCAGCAGAGCCCAAGGTCAGGCACGGTTCCCTAGTGCGGCTTGCTCCCGCCATCCGCTGCCGGACCTCTCCAGCCCGTTAGCCAAATCTTCAACTCCTGTTTGTACAAACACAGCGACCACACTCGGTTACTTGTGAGCCTTCCCGCTCAGACTTTCCCATTTGCAAAACTCCCTGATGTCAAGGGTGACTGTGCAGTTTATTAATCACACAGGATCGCTATGAGAGAGAAGGGAGCTGAGTTTGGTCATTACGGGATAACTGGCGGAGACAGGATCTGTCTGAGCGAGCCAGCTGGTGACGATGACCCACCCCTCGTGTGACAGCTTTGCTGTCCCCCTGATTCCCCAGCCTCAATTGTCTACTTGCTGTGGTTGAAGGTTTCCTGTCCATCTTGGGCCTGGGGAAGGGGCGGCCTTCAGGGAGCCATTCACTGCTGAGAACCAAGTCCTCCGACCGAACATTCGCCAGAAACTGCAAATGTTTGGTCCCCTTGTGGGGGGTTCTCTGCCTTCCCCAGGATGTCCAGACAGGCCTGCTCTCTGCCCGGGACGAGGTAGTGACACTGAGACAGACAACCAAGGGACATGCCATCATCAGCTTGCAATTGCAGTTTCCTAACCAGAAAAGTGCAGGGCTGCACCCTACCCCACCACTGTGGAGAGAGGGTAACTTGGGGTCACAAGAGAGTTGAGCAAGCAGCTCGGTGCTCCCTTTGGAGAGCCTTAACGGGGCAGGTGCCGGGCACTGCAGCGGGGCCGGGAACCCTCTTAACCCCTGGGCTCAGAGACCCCTTAGGGTGGTGGTCGCTTTATAAGTGCTCGAATAAAGTAAACGGCCAGAGTCAGCCCCAAGACAGTTGACAAAGGAAAGCCTGTCACGTGGGAGCCGCCTGGAAAGCTGGGTGCCCGGGAATGCGAGCCACGGACGTGTCACCGCCCGCGTGCAGTCCTGCCACTTCCTCCGCCTGCTCCTGCCCGGCTGCCCACATCTCCGCCAGCTGCAAAGCTTCCTGAAGCTACGGTGAGAGCAAGCCGGAAGTGGGGGAATCCGGGCAGCCAGACAGAAAGTTCTCCCCAGCTCTTCCCCTCACCCTGTCTGACCGCCCCCTCACCCACGTGTTGATTAGGATCTCAGTTGTGTCTACAGGGAGCCAGCGACTAGGCTGGGTGCCCAGATCCCCGGGGGTACAGAAGCCGAGAGGAGTCCTGGGCTCGTGGCACTCGCAGGTGTATCACATGGAGGCTTTGTTCTGACTCAGGTGTGGTGAGGAGATCAAGAGATGATGACTGTTGCAAAGGGAGTTTGTTCCGGGTCCTGAGAGGAGGGGAGGGCCATGCCACGCAGGGCTGCCCGGGGCACCACCAGGCCTGGTCAGGAGGCAGAGGGAGCGACAGGAAGCTGTGGGCATAGGGCATCTGTTGTGGTTTCCTCAGGAGGGAAAGCAAGGCAAGCAGGCGTGGGATTGGCCAGTTTGAATAGCCTCCATGGGCCCTGGGGCCCCAGGGCTGTCCCTAGCTGTCCAGTTCCTGGGCCTAGGTGATGAGGGCAGGTGGCCCAGAGGGCAAGAGCCCAGGGAGGACCCGAGAAAGGATGTGGGTGGGAGGTGAGCTCTGGATTGGCTAGTTAGCCCCAGCGGTTTGCTCTCTCTAGGAACTGGCCAGCCCTGGAGGGATATCCCTCCAGGGTCAGCAAGGTCCTCCATGTCAAGGCATCAGAAAAAAATTTTTAAAAAAATGCTTAATACAACAGCCTGCGGGGTCTCCCACTCTCAGCTGGCAGGCCACAGAGGTGTGTGACAGGGCAGCTGTTCCAAATCTTTCTATGCAAATGCCTAGGCAGAGCGTGAGTGTCCCCTCCAGGTGGCTGCCGGCTCTGTCACTCCCCATTGCCTATGATGGCCCACTCACAAATGCTCTGTCCGATGCATAGTTTGTGCCCTGAGCTCCCCTTCCCTTGCGCAGAGAGCATGGTCTGGGTGACGTTTTCCTCTGTGACCTCGCAGTCCTTAATGCTACCACAGGATCCACTCTCTGACGCACACGTCTTTCTAAGAGTGAGCCATCGTCCATGTCCTCTGCATGGTCCCCACTACCCTGCCTTTTCTCTCTTTTTTAAAAAGACTATTTATTTGACAGAGAGATAGAGAGCATAAGCAGGCATAGTGGCAGGCAGAGGGAAAAGGAGAAGCAGGCTCTCTGCCAAGCAGGGAGCCCGACACAGGGCTCCATCCCAGAACCCTGGGCTCATGACCTGAGCCAAAGGCAGCTGCTTCACCGACTGAGCCACACAGGTACCCATTACTACCTTGCCTTCTCAAGGGCAGCTCTCCCACCTAGGCATGGGGTGGGGAGCTCACCTACATGCAGAGCCCCCATCCAAGTGCTTCTCTCCCACTGCCTCTTACACCAAAGCTTAAATAGTAGGGGAACTCGGGGCACCAGGGTGTCTCAGTTGGTTAAGTATCTGACTCTTGATCTCAGCTCAGGTCTTGATCTCAACGTCATGAGTTCGAGCCCTGAACCGGGCACCATGCTGGGTGTGGAGCCTGCTTTAAAAAAAAAAAAAAAAAAAAAAAAAACAAGTGGAGGGGAGGGGAACAGCTACTTCCCTCATTTTAGATAAGGGAAAACCAGAGCCTGTGATCTGAGTCAAACAGGAGCCTGGCCGTGAACGGTAGAGTCCGAGGCTGGAACCGGGCATGCATTCTGGCCCCCGGGCCCACCTCTCTTTCAGGTCCATCCTCTGCCTGGACAGAGGCTGAATGACACCTGTTGTATCCCAGCCGAATACTGGACACAGGAGTGACCAGTGCCCCCGCCGTCCCCAGGAGAGGGGCCGCTGGGATGTGCTTGGCTGGTTGTGCTCCCTTTAGTCTGCAAGCTCAGTGGCTTTACTCTTTCCCCTAAATATCAGGACGTCAGGCTTTACGTGGACCCTGGTGAAATGACGGCTTCCAAAAAGGCGAGAATGGCTGCGCTGTTCTTGGGAGCATCCGAGTTTCCTTTCAGGTGCATTCTGGGAAATGAAGAATTAGTTTGGCCAAGTTTCCAGTTGTGGTTTCGCTCACGAGGACAGAGGCCCCTTCCTGTGTTACAGCGTCGAGGCCTGATGGATCGGTACCCACTGCCAGGTCCCAGCTCGGAATCTGGGAGCGCACTTTGTTTACGACCTCTGTAAACGGCCAGGCAAGCACAGTCATGACTCACCGACTCCCATTATTTACCTTCATTCTGGCTGCAGATGTTCTAGAACTTGCATTTATTTAAGGCTAAATGGTCTTGTACCATTAGTGTCCAGGTTTTTAAATTTGTGTTTCTTCTCAAGGTTAGTGGCTTCTATCTAAGGCAGTGGGCGCCGTGAGAGGGCGGGCACCAGGGTTAGGAGGGCAGAAGCCTCATGCAGGGGGGGCAGGATCACTGTCCAGGTGGCTCCCAGACCCTGGGTAGAGCAGGTGGACTGTCCTCGGATTCTCATGGGCGTCTGCACACTTTGTGAGCCCAGATTTGATCCAGCAGGAACCTGGGGGGCCCCCTTCTTGGGGCCTCTGAATGAGGGGTTTGTGGGTCATGCCCTCACTGGGTGTTTGGCAGGGGGCGTTCACAGTGCTGCATCCGTCTGGGGATGGGGACCTTTGTCAGTCCCCACAATGCCTCTGGGTAGGGGCACCTGGCTGTGGCCTGAGAACCTCCCCTTTCCTGTACTTCTATGTCTGCTTCATCAGTTGGTCCTCTAGATTGTCTCCAAAATAGAGCCCAAATGTGCCTCCCCGTGTCCACAGCTCAGCCCCAGACAGGCCGAGGTGCCTCCCTTCTCGCCAGCCCCGAAGCCCAGGACAGCCTCCCTGGTGGTCCGTCCTCTGCCCTGCACTCCTGCTCCCTGGTGGTATCCAGTAAAGGCAGGACCCTCACCGTGCTGCTCCCCGTACAAGCCCCTGCCATGTCGAAGAAGGAAAGTTCAGAGGCCAGGAGAGACGAGCCCAGCCCCCCTCACCTTCTGCCCCTCCATGGCTCCCCAGCCTACTTTCAGATCCGAGAGCAGGGCACCGATGCTGCTTTCCACGGCCTCTCCTGAGCTGTGCCCTCGTGACCTTGGCATGGCTGGCTCCATCCCTGGTGTCAGGCCACATGTTAGTTCCTGGGAGGGGGCTTTCCTGAGGACCCCGCTAAGCCGTCCTTCACCCGCAGGCCCATTCCCAAACCCTTCGGAGCCTGGGACATGACTGTTTACCTGTTACAGGTGTGTGCCCTCTCCCTAAGGACCAGGACCTAGTGTGTTTCACTGTGTTCTCAGCCATGAGTCCAGTGCCCGGCTCAGAGCAGCCACGTAGCAGCAGGCC